GGTCGAGGCTGCGGCAGCCGGGAGCGGCCACTGCACTCCAGTCTGGGTGACAGAGTGAGACTCCAACTCGAAAAACAAACAAACAAAAAAAGAAACAAGGTCTCACTATGTTGCCCAGGCTGGTTTTGAACTCCCGGCCTCCGGGCATCCTCCCGCCTCGGCCTCACACCCCAGGTGTGGTGGTGTGTACCTGTAGTCACAGCTACTTGGGTGGCTGAGGTGGAAGGATCCCCTGAGCCCAGCAGGTCGAGGCTGCGGTGGCCATGACCGTGCCACTGCCCTCCAGTGTGGGCAACACAGGGAGTCCTCGTCTCTACAGAAATAAAAAAATTAGCCCGGCATAGTGGCGCCCGCCTGCAGTCCCAGCTACTCAGGAGGCTGAGGCAGGAGGATCACCTGAGCCCAGGAGGTCGAGGTTGCAGTGAGCTGCGATTATACCACTGCCCTCCAGCCTGGGCGACGGAGAGAGACCCTGACTCAGAAAGAGAAGAATAAGAAAGACGGGCTTCCCCCGCTGCCTCCGCCTCTCACCCAGCAAACGTGCCTGAGCCCCCCTCTGTCCCGGCAGCGCCCTCTGTCCTCGGGACACACCGGTTGACTTCACAGACAAACCCAGCCCGAGACCCAGCATGCCAGCTCACATCCGTGCCGGAAGCCGGTGCCAACAGGGAAGGGCGGGCAGGGGCCAGGGCAGCCGAACGCGCGCCAGTCACGAGGGCCGGACAGGGCATGCGGCCCCAGGCGTCACATGCCCGGAAAGCCTCTTCGTGGCAGGGAATGCAGGCCCCCCTCCGCCCCGGGCAGTTGCCAAGGCCGCCTGTGTCTGCCCGAGAGTCCAAAGCCAGGAAGATGACGCCCCAGCCCTCGAGTATCCTCGTGGAGGGTAGGGTCGGGAAGAGGCCTGTGCCCACCCGACGGGGCCCCTCGACACCCCAAAGGGCGGACGTCTGCCTCGCTGGGAGGTGGAGGACACTGGGAAGAGAGACCGGAGCCAGCCAAGGTCCTCTGCGGACCCGAGGGACTTTGGGCCCAGACTCCATCCACAGTGGGTCTCCCCAGGGGTCTCTGTGTCCCCATGTGCACCCGACACGCTCCCTGGGGCCCCTGAAAGACCCTGAACCAGGGCCGGGTCATTCGCCCCTCAGAGCCCGGCACCCCTCTGACCTCAGCCCCCCAGGTCCTAACCTCCCAACGGGAAGGCCGGGCATGAATAGTGTCCTCGGGCTGCAGGGCAGCCAGTGAGGACCGGGTGGGGTGAAGAAGGTGCCCGTCCCCCCCACCCCAAGGGAGCCAAGGGTGGCCAGGAAACCGCCCCTGCCCAGTTCTCCTTGGTGCAGCCCTCTGGCAGTTTCTGAGCCCACAATTCAGCTGCAGGGAGTCACGGTGGCAGTGACTGGGTGGGGGACGCACACAGGGACCACCGTCGGAGGGGTCACCCGGACCCTCAGGCTACAGTGTTGCAGGGACCTTGGCGTCCGTGCTCGTGACCCCCCGGGGGGCTTCTCTCCGGTTTGTCTGTGATGAACATGCCGGAAATAGCCTTCTCTCCAGTTGGGCTCAGAATGGAGTTTGAAGCTGGTTTGTGTCCTGCACCCAGGCGGGCACTGGGGGCTGCTGCCCCCCGGGTGGGGGCCTGACCCTGTCCCCTCACCGAGCCCTGTGGCCTGGCTAGAGGGGGCCTCCCTCTCAGCCCCGGTGCTCTGTGGCCTCCAAAGACCCCAGCTCAAGGGCCCCAGTGGGGGCAAGCTCCCCCCTCTGGGGCGTCAGGCAGGGACGGAGGGGACTGCTGTCTCTCGCGGCTTCTCCCTGCTGGCGGCTGTGGTCACCCGGGCACCGCGCTGTAAAACGTCCCTTATGCCCTTTGGCCGAGCTGATCCCACGACCCCGTCCCAGATGTTCCCTGGGAGAGACCCCGCCACGCACGTAACCTGGCGAGCCTGTTTCCCCCAGGGGCCGGCAGTAGGCATCAGCCCCGTGACCACCGCCCAGAGAGTCTCCACGGACCCGGAGGGGTGTATTTTGGGTCTTTGCATGCGGGGGAGCAGAGGACAGAAATAAATCTGGGCCCGTCACGGGAAAGGACAGGCTTCGCCGCATGCGGGCCGCCGACTCTCATCTCTCAACTCGAGGGTGTCTTGCGGTGTCTTGGAATTCTAGAAAGCAGGCCGGGCCCGGGCGCTCGTGCCTGTCATCCCAGCACTTTGGGAGGCTGAGGTGGGAGGATGGCTTGAGCCCAGGAGTTCGAGACCAATGTGGGCAACACAGCGAGACCTCATCTCTACAAAAATAGAAAAGTGAGCCGAGCGTGGTGGTGTGCGCCTGTCCGTCCCAGCTGCTCGGGAGGCGGAGGCGGGAGGATCGCCTGAGCCCAGGAGGGCGAGGCTGCGGTGTGAGCTGTGATCGTGCCCCTGCACGCCAGCCTGGGCGACAGTGAGACTCAGACTCAGAAAACAAAGAGAGGGGACTTTGGGGCAGTAGTGCCTGTGCATGCACATGACTCCACCCCGCTGGGTGGAAGAGGTAGGCTGGGTGACTCTGTCTCTCCCAGCCTCAGTGCTCCCCTCTGTGAAAGGACAACTGGCCGTAGCAGTTGACAGAGTCAGTTCTCAGGACAGCCTCGGCCTGGGACACCTCCTCTCCGGCCAGGACTCAGCGACCCTCGGCCATTCGACACTGTCACTCGGGGCCTGAGAAGGGTGACTTGGCCAAGCTCGCAGTTCAGTGGGGAAGCTGGACTTGAACTCGGGGCCACCTGACCCCTGCCCCAGGCTCTCTGTGCCCCCACCCCCCGCCACCTGAGATGCAGGGAAGCGGAAGAGAGGGCTGGGAACAGGCAGACGTGTGGCCGTGACCCACAGGGAATGCCCAGAGGGGGCCACTCTCAGCTGTCACCTGGTCAGCCCTGCTTGGGGACCCAGAGGACCCTGGGCGCTCCCAGGTGGAGGCCAGCATGCCTGGGCTGCGTGTTCCAGGAAGTCCTCTTTCGTGGCCCGGGCTGCTCTGGGGGGACCTGACTAAACCCCCTGAAAACTTCCTAGTTGTTTTGGAGACTGTGCCCCCCGGCCGCCCTGTGTCCTCCTGGCTCTTAAACAATCCTGTGTGATCTGGGGAAGACCACGCGACTCCCGCCTTCCATCCCACCGTCTTCAAGGAGGGGCTTCTAGGAGAGTCTCCCAGTGTTCTCATGAGGAGTGAGGGCGTGCGTCAGGGTCAAGGCCGCCGTCCATAGTCCCTGCTCAATAAAATGCAGGCACAAGCCAGGCGCAGTGGCTCACACCTGGCATCCCAGCACTCTGGGAGGCCTAAGCGGGGTGGGGGTGGGGAACCACTTGAGGCCAGGACTTTGAGACCAGCCTGGGAAACATAGCGAGACCTTGTTTCTACAAATAAATAAATAATACGTGGCCGGGCACTTTGGCTCAAGCCTGTCATCCCAGCATTTGGGAGGCCAAGGCAAGAGGATTGTCTGAGCTCAGGGGTTCGAGACTAGCCTGGACAACTTGGCAAGACCTCATCTCTACCATAAACCCCAAAAATTAGCCGGGTGTGGGAGCACGAGCCTGTAGTTGCAGCTACTTGGAAGTCTGAGGCGGAAGGATCGCCTGAGCCCAGCAGGCCAAACCTGCGGTGGCCGTGAGCGTGCCACAGCCCTCCAGCCTGGGCGACAGAGTGAGACTCTGACTCAAAAAAAAATACAAAAATGAGCCGGTGTGGTGGTGCACCCCTGTTGTCCCAGCTGCTCGGGAGGCTGAGGCGGGAGGACGGCTTGAACCTTGGAGATCGAGGCTGCGGTGAGCCATGAGCCTGCCACTGCCCTCCAGCCTGGGCGACGGTGAGACGCGTCAGCCGCAGATGGCGAAAACCTCCACCCGCCCTGACCGAGAACGTTCCTTATCTTTCTAGACGAAAATCCACGGCATTGGCTTTGTGAAGATCCACGCTCCCTGGCACGTGCTGTGCAGAGAAGCCGAGTTTCTGAAGCTGAAGATGCCAACAAAGAAGGTTGGTGTGGCCACTCCATTTTGCACTTGAGGTCCGCGGATGCCTGGCGGTGACTGGCTCTCACCACGGGGCCCTGGGTGTCATGAAAACCCGAGTGGGCGCCCTTCTCAGCCCTGGGCGGGCCTTGGCCAGGTGTGATGCAACCCCTGGGGGCTCCGGGGTTCTGAGCAGGGAGAATCCAGCCCAGTCCTGGGTGGTCTTCAGAGACCCCCGACCAAACCCCACTGAGAGCCAGCGCAAGCAAAAGAGCGCACCTGTCATCCTGGGGATGTTATCCTAAATACAGACACAATCAAATGTCCGCTGGGCACCGTGGCTTACACCTGTCATTCCAACACTTTGAGAGGCCGAGACTGGAGGATCGCCTGAGCCCAGGAGTTCAAGACCACCCTGGGCAACAGAGCGAGACCTCATCTCTACACAAAATAACTAGCATGGCGTGTTGGGGCACGCCTGTCATTCCAGCTACGCGGGAGGCTGAGGCAGGAGGATCGCCTGAGCCTAGGAATCGGAGGCTGCCGTGAGCTGTGATGGTGCCATCGCACTCCAGGCTGGGCGGCAGAGCAAGACCCTGTCTCAAAAAAAATAAGAGTCGGGCTCTGGTTCTTTTTTGCTTGTGGTGTCTCAGCGAACGTCTCAGATGCGTTTTAATTACATTTCCTGGCTTCCTGGGGTTTTTCTCTTTAATCTCTGAAAATTTTATGGCGAGAAAGCAGCCTGACGGCGTGTCCCCAAAGCTGAGCTGGGTCGGCATTTGCTCTTGCATGTGGCTGGGGTGAGGCCATGCTCGGCCGTGTCCCCATCCAGGGAGCCCATGTGGAATCCCTCCTGTGACACCAGAGTGATCTCTCCGGAATGTCTCTTAATTGAGCTCTTGGCTGGGTTTGTCCTGGAACTCAGCCGACCCAGACACGGGGCATGGAGGGGCGCTCTGTCCCGGGCCGGGCGTCTCCGTGGGGTGGGCGCCGGCTCCCACCGTCCGAGAATATGTTCCGGGGGCTGTGGCTGGGCTGGGATGTGGACCCTGCCCATCTCGTCTGCAGGTGTATCACATCAACGAGACCCGGGGTCTCCTCAAGAAAATCAACTCGGTGCTCCAGAAAATCACAGACCCCATCCAGCCCAGAGTGGCCGACCACAGACCCCAGACCACCAAGAGGCTCTCTTATCCCTTCTCCCGGGAGAAGCAGCACCTGTAAGTGGGACCCCCGCCACCCCCAGCCCTGTGAGTGGGGACCCCACCCGCTCTCCCTGGATCCTGTAAGTGGGGACCCAGCCTGCTCTCCAGGGGTCCTATAAGTGGGGTCCCCACCCACCCCCCAGAGTCCTATAAGTGAGGACTTTGCTGGCTCCCCTGGGGCCCTGTAAGTGGGGACACCCACCCATCCCCCCCGGGCCCTGTAAGCGGGGTTCCAGCCTGCTCCCCCCAGGGCCCTGTAAGTAGAGACCCCCTGTCCCTCCAGGGCCCGCTCCCTGGGGTTCAGTCTCCCGCCCCCATGAAGCTCTGTCAGTGGGGAAGTCCCAGGCCCGAGGGAGGACCCCCAAAGCTGCGCTCCCAGCCCCCTGCCTGCCCAGCCCTGGCCCTCTGTGAGGCCCAGGTAGCCCGCCTCCCGCCGGCAGCCCGGCAGCCTTCAGCCCAGGGGAGCCTCACTCCTGGAGGCAGAAGCAGAAACCAGCCCCCGCCCCCAGCCCCGCCAGGAGTCCTGAGGCCCCGGGGACTCGCGGGCAGCGGGCTTGCCTGGCAGTGCCACGCCTGTTCTGGAAACGTCCCTCCTCCCCTGCTCTCCCGGGGCACCGGGGCGTAGCCACCTGGGCCCCCAAGGGCTTCGCGGGGCAGAGGCGGAAGCAGAAAGCTGGGCTCTGGGAGCCCAGTGGGACTTCAGATGCCAGCTCCAGGGGACAGAAGCCTCCAGGACGCCTCCACCCCGGGCGCTTTCCTGGTTCCTGGTGTGGGCTGGACAGGCCGCCCAGGAAGAAGGAAGCAGCCCCCCCCAGCTCCCACTGACAGCTCAGAACAAGGGCTGGGGCATGAGGGGGCCGCCCTCTTCCCAGGAGCCCGGCTGGCCTTTCTGGTCTCTGCCCGGGGCCCACCCTGTCAGCCCCCTGCCTGGCCGGGGCTGGGCTCACCTCCAGGGTGGGTGGGGCTAGAAGCCCCCCACCCCCAGCTCTGCCCCTCTGCCCCTTGGGTGCTCCCAAGATAGCCCTCTGCCCTGGGCAAGCCTTAGACAATCCCTGTGCTGCCCTGGAAGCTAGAGGGAGATTGTTTGCAAGACTGTAACTGTCTGATGGTGACAGTGACACTGACCCCGTCCCCGTCCCCCACAGTGTTGAGGCAGAGACTTTAAAAACTGCCATCGGGCCAGACGCAGTGGCTTGCTCCTGTCATCCCAGCACTTTGGGAGGCCGAGGCAGGAGGATGGCTTGAGCCCAGGAGTTCAAGGCCAACCTGGGCAACATAGCAAGACCCCCATCTCCAAAATAATTTCTTTTTAAATTGCCATCAAATGTTAGGACGACATCCAAGAGAACGGGGTGTCCAAGAGGTGGACAGGGGGTGGGGTCTGACCATCCTTGCCCTTGGGGGCACTTTCCCATCTGCGTGGGTCTCCACACCTCACCCAGGGGCAGCGGGTGATGACCCAAAAGGTTCTGAGTGCCCAGGGATGGACGGGTCACACTTGTATGGGTTCAGACTCACGTCCGCGTCACAGTGGCCACGCGTGTGGTGTCTCCCAGGGCCTCGAAGCCCAGAGACTTCGCATGACCTTGTCCTGTCCCCTCCTGTATTTCGCAGATTCGACCTGTCTGATAAAGATTCCTTCTTCGACAGCAAGACCCGGAGCACCATTGTGAGTATGGCCCGTGGGAGCCGGCTCCCGGCATGTCAGCCCTGGGGAACGGGGGATCATTTCATTTTGGCAAAGCTCCTCGGGGCGGAGGCCGCTCTAATTGCCTGTGACAGAAATAATTAGAAGAATGGAAAGGAGGGGCCCAGGGGACACAGACAGATTCGCGGGAAAGAGGGGCGTTCCACACCCCGCATTGTTTAAGAGGCTGTGTTCCGCATCTCTGCACGGCCTCCCAGAGCCTTCCGGCCACCGGTTCTTGGTGGGATTTGTGCCTGTCTCCCTGCCAGGCCCCGGACAGGGGGTGTTCCCCGAGGAGGCAGGTACGGGCCCAAGGAACAGGGTGCCGGGGGTCGAGGTGTGTGCATTCTGATTTGTTTCTGGGCCTTGGCCAGACACACTAACTGAGGTTTGACATCTGCCCAGGCCGCCCTGCCCTGTTCAAGGTACGGGCTTAGTGTTTACCGACCCACCGCCAGCTCGTCTGCCAGCCAGGCCGGGGCCGTGCGTGGCTCAGGACCCAGTTTCTGTCCAAACAAGAAATTGGGCCTGGCGCAGAGGCTCACGCCTGTCGTCCCAACACTTTGGGAGGCCGAGGCAGGAGGATCGCTTGAGCCCGGGAGTTTCAGGCCAGCCTGGACAACAGAGCAAGACCCCGGACTCTGCAAAAAAATAATAGAAGTGAAAACATGAGCCAGGTGTGGTGGCACGTGCCTGTAGTTGGTCATAACAACCCAGGAGGCTGAGGTGGGCGGATCCCTTGAGCCCAGGAGTTCAGGGCTGCAGTGAGCTATGAGAGTGGCACTCCAGCTGGGTAACAGAGCAAGATTCTGTCTCTAAAAAATAAATAAGTAGCCACAAATCTATAGGACTTGTAGAATTGCGTTTAAAAGGCACAGAGTAGCCGGGTGCGGTGCTCAGCCTGCAATTCCACCACTTTGGGAGGCCTTGTCTCTACAAAAAGTAAAAAATATTAGCTGGGTGTGGTGGCATGCACCTGTCGTCCCAGCGACTCAGGAGACTGAGGCAGGAGGATTACCCGAGTCTAGGAGGTCGAAGCTACAGGGAACTAGTGATCGTGCCACTGCACTCCAGCCTGGGCAACACAGTGAGATCCTGATTCAAAAATAAAGAAATGGCCAGGCTCAGTGGCTCAGCCTGTCATCCCAGTACTTTGGGAGGCCGAGGTGAGTGGATTGCCTGAGTCCGTGGGTTCGAGACCAGCCCAGACAACTTGGCGAGACCTTGTCTCTACAATAAATCAAAAAATTAGCCGGGCGTGGTAGAGAGCGCCTGTAGTTCTGGCTACTTGGAAGACTAAGGCAGAAGGGTCGCCGGAGCCCAGCAGGTCGATGCTGGGGTGGCCGTGAGCATGCCACTGCCCTCCAGCCTGGGAGATGGAGTGAGACTCCAACACACACACACACACACACACACACACACACACACACACAGAAGTAAAATAACAGAAAAGAAAGAAATGGACCTAGCAGCCGAACTCCCACTGTTCTCTCTCTTCCCTGCCCAGAAAGCCCTGCCTGGCCAAGCAGAGATGGAAGGCCGGGAGCGGTCAGCCAGGTGACCTTGTTCAGATAATGGTCTCTCCCGGCCGCCACCCCAAGACCCGCGGGCCACCAGCCTCAGGGCAGTGGTCAGGTCGCATGGGCAGGGAGTTTCAAGCTGCTGCCGGGACTGGAGGACTCGGTCCCGTCTGCCCGCACGCCCTCCTAGCCCTGTGTCCTCAGGAAAGCCACTGAGCTCTGTCAAAATGAGACAGGTTCTGCCTCTGAGGACAGCTGTGAACCTTCACCAAGGTGGTCAGTGGACTCCGTGTTGGGTGCTGGGCACCCTTGTGAATTTTTTTTTTTTTTTTGAGTTGGGCTCTCATTCTGTCGCCCAGGTTGGAGTGTGGTGGCACGCTGGGGTCAGGAGATCCCTACACCTCAACCTCCTGAGTAGCTGGAACTACAGGCATGTGCCACCACGCCCAGCTAATTTTTTGATTTATGGTAGAGACGAGGTCTCACCACGTTGCCCAGGCTGGTCTTGAACCCCTGAGCTCAGGCAATCCTCTCACCCCCATTTCCCAAAGTGCTGGGATGACAGGCGTGAGCCTCCACCCTCTCCTGAACTTTTTAAACAATTATTAATGGGGTTACTGGTTAATTTTTTTTTTTTTTTGAGTTGGAGTCTCACTCTGTCACCCAGACTGAGCCACCGCAGCCTCGAACTGCTGGGCTCTGGCGATCCTTCCGCCTCAGCCTTCCAAGCAGCTGGAACTACAGGTGCGCGCTACCACACCCGGCTAATTTTTTGATTTATTGTAGAGATGAGGTCTCGCCAAGTTGCCCAGGCGGGCCTCGAACCCACGGGCTCAGGCAATCCACTCACCTCAGCCTCCCAAAGGCACGGGATTACGGGCTGAGCCACCGAGCCCAGCTGTTACTGGTTAATTTTAACAACTTGATCTCTCGATAATAAAAATAAGGAACTCAGCCAGGTACAGTGGCTCTCACCTGTAATCCCAGCAATTTACTTTGGGAGGGTGAGGCAGGAGGATCTCTTGAGGCCAGGAGTTGGAGTCCAGCCTAGGCAACATATCAAGACCTTATCTCTATAAAAATAAAAAAGCTGAGTATGGTGGCGCGCACCTGTAGTCCCAGCTACTCGGGAGGCTGAGTTGGGAGGATTGTTTGAACCCAGGAGTTGGAGGTTGCAGTGAGCTATGATTGTGCCACTGCACTCCAGCCTGGAGAGCAGAAGAAGTCTTAGTCTCAAAAAAAAACCCTCATTTATACAGAAACACCAGCCCCTCCGTGGGGACCCCCGGCTAGCGTGTCCGTAAGCCTCCTCTCCTTCCCAGACATCAGCCGCTTGGGAGGACCGTCACTGTGTCAACGAACGGTCTCCCTTTTTCCGTATCGTGATGACAGGCGAGCATAGGAGAGCCGGCTGGGTAACCTGAGTCCCGGCCCCCTCCATGCGTGTGTGCACCCCAACTTCGGCCTCCTCTGGGTCTGCTCAGACCTCCTGAAGGCACCAGGCAGGGCGTCCATTTGCCAACTCACTGGCAGGGAGGGGGCCGAGGTGGGGGACGCGCGTGGGTGGGGGGCTCTCGCCCCGTCTTCTCCGGAGGCCGCCGCAAACGCTAGTGTGGTCCGTGGTCCCTGGAGCGAGGACGGCCGCGACCCCTGAGTCACAGAAAATGTTCCGTGTTAGTTGGACGCTCTGTGATTCCACCTACCTCTGGGAGAGGAAGGAGGGACAATCTCTCCAGATCCTTGAGGTGAGAGGATCGCTGGAGCCCAGGAGGTCGAGACCTGCCCGGGTAGCATAGTGAGACCCTCCTCGTCTCTACAATAAATTCAAAAAAAAATTGGGCCGGGCTCGGTGGCTCAGCCTGTAATCCCGCACTTTTGGGAGGCTGAGGTGAGTGGATGGCCTGAGCCCGCGGGTTTGA